AGGAATGACAGAAATTGATTTCATATCACATTCCAGTTTTCTCATGTTAATAGAGATGCAATTAAGCGTAAGAGACTGAGCTGCTCAAGTCCAGGTTGGTTCAGAAACTTCTACCTGCAGACACAGAAAAACACCTCACATCTGTTTGGTACTTCATTTCTGGTATTCGCTGACTGATTGCCTCATTACAGAAAAAGAGCACTGTGCGCTGGTCAGCACAGCTACATCTGTATCTGTAAATTCAAAACCTCTCAGTGACATTCCTAGGTATTGTCACCATCTATGCTAGTAAGCTCTTCAAGCATTTTCTGACGTGGGTTTGGCCTCTTCTCCTTGGACAACCGCAAGCCTGGTATGGCAGCTGGAATATTTTAGGGACTGCTCCCAGCAAGCAATTTGAATGCAGCCATCATCTTGTGAAGTTTAAGACATTTACTAGCGGAGTCCTGACAGCTGCCATCTCAGCACACAGATGTTTGGTTTATTTATATAATCATTCAACAGTTTTTAATTCCTTCAGAGTTTAATCCCATTTCTGAAGAAAAGAGTTTTCATAGATGCATGACATATGGTGTTCCCTCCCAGTTCTCTAAGAGGGATAATGAAGGTGTTGAACCATTCATAAATTTCATTTCCTTTAGAGTTTTTGTGCCTGAGATTTCATTTGCATTAGTGCTATTTTACTATCTTGTGACGTTAGTGTGTTTTGAACTGGCATAAGAGACAGAAAAAAAATCCATGTGGTTTAAAAATAAAGTAGTAGTAATGAAAAATCTTATTGCTAAAGCTGTTAAGATGAAATATTAGTTATTCTCTCATGTAAAAAAGATACAGTTTTTTTATAAACTCTGCAGTCCAACTTAGCTTCAGCTCCCCCTGCAAATCTATTCTGGATAGTTACCTTATGGATATCCTGTTTTGGAATTCCACGCAGCGTGCAGTAGTAATAAAGATGGTCCCAACCTGTTAAAAGTTCATCCAGAGCATCTTGCTGTGGACAATAGCCAATGAGAATGCCTTCAGAGCTAGCAGACAGTATATCCATTTCAGACCTGTTTAAAGAAAAAGCAAAAGACTTGAATGTTGTTTTAAAAAAACATAGCTCTGGGTTTCAGCCTCGGGATACAGTGTCTTCAAGACAAACACACTCTCAACTCCATAGGTAAATGAGTTTGAATCTCTTTACTATGATCACTTCCCATAGTGTCACCCACACGCAATGCATGCTTTTTGTCCCTTTTGGTTTAGCGCTGCCACCCACGCGTCACTATTCTATTGGTGTGTGGGTCGAGGTCAACAGATCAATGCAGGAGGAGTATAGATCTACGAGAATTAATTCTTACCAGGTTTACCTCCCTTATCTCTTCAGTAGACCCTGCTCTAAGGAGACATATTTCAAAACCATACTGCATGCATCACATTCAATATTAAAGGGGCAATAGTTGAGAGAGTGAGAGGGAAATGCTGCTCTATATTCTTTGTGTGTCTGTCCCCACACATATGCATGTGTGCATTCTCTAAACAAGAGTAAAACAAAATGCAGACTATTAAAGCCTAGTAGGTTAAAAGACAATACAGGGGGAAAAAAAAAAGGCATTATCCTGATTTAAGAGATTTTGGCCATCACTTTGTAGCTGTACAGCATTACTTGAAATTACATTCATTGCTAAGAAGCAAGCTTGATTGCAAGGGTGTCTCATTACCCATAATGACACTAAATCTATCCTATTTATTCCAACATCTAATTCAACATTCAATGATGCTAATTTACATGTACAGAAAAGACCTGTCAAAATCAAGATACTTAATAACAAAAATCTGAGCTTTGAAAGAAAAAAGTTTTTAAAAGGTTCTGAGTAGCAGAATGGTTTTCCCCCTAGTGGTTTTCTACGTTTCTGGTTAAGAGAACTAAAAATATGATTAATCATTTAGACACAAAGTAAACGTATTAAATGCAGGATCTACAAATACCAGCACTAGTGAAAATATAAATATGTATCTCCTGTTAACAAGATTCAGGAGTCTGGGGAGAAAAAGAAAACACAAATTCTGCATTTTACATAATGAACCACAGAATCAAAACACATTTTAATGCTATCAAAAGATAAATTATCATGATTATGACGAACGTTGCTGGGGACTAATTAGAATGGTCCTTTACTCTTAATGGCAAAGATATAAAATTTTAGTATCTTTGTAGGTTTGGATGGTGACAAGGAAGTCAACTGCCTGTAGACATCTCTCTAGACAAAGACTTAGCAAAAAAAGAAAAGGGGTGATCGGGGAAAGAGGATAGCAGGACTGTACTTCCTCATTAATTTATATGCACTTATAGGTTATTTTAAATGACGTATGTACAGAATTTTTACCAGCTTAGTTTCCAGCCATACCTAAATCAAATTAAATTATTTTTAAGGTCATCTTTACCATAAGATATGGATTGATTAATGTTGATCTTTTTGCATAACCTGTCAGAAGTGGTGCGTTCCTTATTTAACGAACTGTAACACAATGAAACACTGTCAACAGTGAAATGCTATCTAGATGCTGCTGAACACAGAGAGATGTGTCTGAGGTTTGTTTTACCAGGAAGATCCAGGCACGCTAACAAGGTTTCCTTTTGGTGCAGCTGCTGTCTTTGGAGAAACAAGAGACTGGGCTTTTGGTAATATGCCAAGTTCAGTCACAAGAGAACAAATCACACTCAGGGGTAATTTCAGGGACATTTACTCAGCACAAACCCTGTAGCTGTCTAGTCTGGAATGGGTCCATACCATGAAGAACAAAAAATAAGTATGCACGGCTGCAAAAAATAACAGACATCTAATGTTCTTTAGCTAGAACTATATTAGACAATAGTTACTCAGTTTGCATCAGGAAATAAAAAAAAACATCACTGTCCCCAGTGGTAATTGTATAGATGCAATTTTAGTGTTGTCCCTCCTGTAAAGCACACAGCTTTAGATGAACAATATCCCACCCACTGACCTTTAGCTTTCATAAAGGAAGAGGACAGTGAGAATAGATCATTTAATATTCTTACTCAGTTTGGTCCTTATCTTGCAACTTTATCCTTTAGTGCTGACCTTGAACACTTAGAGTTCCCATTAATAAAGAGATTATAATGTAACCACTAAAGAACTCATGAACCAAATTTTTTTCCACCTCTGTACCTGTCAAAGCAGAAAACAATCTGACCAGAAGAAAAAAATAAAAGCCATATGAGGACTCTGGTCTTTTATTGAGACTTTTTCGGTGTGTGTATAGTAGTACAATGCCTATTCTTTCCTCAGCAATATCACTGAGTAGATTTCCAAATCGAAAAGCTGGAGACCATCCCTTCAGTTTTGTTTAGCCAGGTCCTAAACTTTTTCTGAATAGTGAAAGAATAGATGAAAAAAATACCACAGCATAATTTTTAATTATAGTACATGTAACAGAAAAACTGCCCTTATCTCTGGAATTTGATTTTCCTTGAAATTCAGTTAATCTCTCAGATTTCATTTTCATGGGTCTAAATGAAATGAACATTTCAAGTAGTGACGGCATGATACCAGAAAACCTTTTCACTAAATGATATATTGTAAATGCTTTTCTTTACAAAAAAAAAAAATAAAAATCTGATGCCATTCATTAAACTACTTGTACTCCTCTTCTTCCTTAACACACATCTTCATATATGATGTTATCAGAATCCAATTGGAAATATATTTTTTAATATTTTCTGAAATATAGATCAGCATGCAGCAAAATGTTGATTTTTTTTTCTCAAGCTAGGGAAAAACAGACATTTGTTTTCTGCCCTTTTATTATCAACTTGCTAGCATTTCTCATTAGGCCGTTCATATTATCAACAGGACATACAGGAAGAAAAAAATCAACTCATTTTATACATAAAGAGAGAAAGCACATGTAAGTAGAGATTCCAACCCTTCACCCTCTCAGCCTTGCTGTCCATAGTACAGTAGACACAATCAATTCCAGTGTAATATCTAAAAACTATAGGCAGGAACTCAGACTTTTAAACTAATACAGGACTTCCTGTATCATTATAAAAACACTGAGTAATTATCTTTAAATTCTCTTAGTAACTTTGATTACATATCCTGATCAAGTTAAAACATAGAACTAACATGGAAGATGAGTTTCTCCTTCCTAGTAGAGACTTAATTTTTAGACTATGTTGCTATCCTCACTCAATACTTTCATTTACTATTTATTTTTTCCTTTAAAGTGGAAGAGCTGCAACAGACAAAACCAACAGAACATGTCCAGAGAACTATATGATAAATGAAATTTTAAAGTTGTAAAATTACATTTCTAGTACACTTTTGGAAAAGGACAATAGAATGCACTGCATCCTCAAGAAAAACAGCACAGTCTAGCACTTGAATCATGAAAGCTATTACATTCCATCCTTTTCTACATGCTTTGGTCTCCATTTATACAGTGAGAGTTATGATACTTTGGTGCAAAATATCCTGAACAAAAAAACAGAACTCAAGGAGGCTTCCATAAATTTGGATTGCTCATCTTACAGAGTTTTTTACTATCAATGTAAGAAACTTGCAAGACTTGCAAGATACTGGGGATAAAAAAACTAAACTCTGAGTGAATAAAATTTGTGATTCAAAGTTGTTCCTTCGCTGATCATTTTAAGGCCTTTTACATTGATCCATTTCTTTTGTGCATTGGAAGAAACCTCTGAAATTTGGTTCCAGCCCTGAAGGCTACATTGGGGTGGCATGTGGCACTCCAGACAGAAAGACTTTTCTGGGCACTGAAAAGAAATCAAAACACTCGAACCAGTGAGAATGATCTTGGATAAAACCTGTTGCCTTCTCGTGCTTGAACTGGACCTGTATTTTCCAGAAGGCTAGGCTGATTATTGCAAAGACTAGATTCAGTTCTTATTTTAACAGTGGTTATCGGCAACATAACTTATTGGTAGCTGTGGGCTGACATTCAAAAGTACACCTCAGTTTCAATTCCAGAGACAGCTTAGTAGCCTTCATATCAGGCTTACAGCTGTTTTTGGAAAAAATATTTAACTATTGACTGCACTGTGCACTTTGCTTCTCTTTTGTATGCTTTTTCTGCAGTTTTGGAATGCGGTTAAAATACAAGCAGTGATATATATGGTACTTACAATGGCTTCTATAGAGATATAAATTCCATTAATGAGTCAAAATGAAATACAAATTTACAAATTGCAAAAGTAGTTAGACATTCCATTGTACTCTTAATGGCACATCCAATTCAGTGCATACTAATGCCCAATTAACAATATAAAAAAATCAAGGTTAAAATATAATTAATGTAACTGTAGCTTAGTTATAATTAAACTAATTATACTGATATACAGTGTAACAACAGCTATCTCAGCCATTATATTGATGTAAATTTATTCTGCCTTTCAAGTAAAGCTATTTGAATTGCATTTTTAATTATTCATCAAGCTGAATATCATAACTATCAAAAGAGTCCAAGTTCCAGTTATAAAGAAATATTTCACTTTCCCCTCTTTGGAAAGCAGTTCTTTGGTCCTATGACTTCGTAATTCAACAACTGGAAAGACTGACACTTAATTCAGATAGGATGGGGAGTTGCTGTAATGGAGGATCTCTCTGTGCAGAAGGAAGATGAAATTCATGAGAGATAAATTAATTACATGGGGAAGACTGCCAAATGCTTCAGGCCTCAGTGGGGCAACCTATGAACAAGACAACACCCGACTTACCTACTTCTTCTTCTATGTACCCCACTACAAGTAAGACTTCACTCTAAGTATGAACTTAAAGTCAACTCTATTCAGCAAACCACAATGTCAAACACTGCAAAATAGAGTGTCAAAAAGGCAAATAAACCACTAGTCATGTTACTCATTATTTTACATTGATCTTGACATGACATTTAAAAGGATTTTGACACTTTCTCTTCCAAGTTGTGTTTAGCCCTCCTAAGTTAAGGGAAGTTTTATGACAGTCACTGAAAAAAGTTTAGACACAAATATGGAAAGGGGAAGAAAACAAAGAATGGTCAACGTACACTCCAGAAAAAAAGAAAAAAGTGGAACAAATGTACAATATCTGCTGATACATCAGTCCAGCAGAGATTCAAAGAGTATGAGGACTCACTTTGTTCTCTTTTGCTTTATCACCTTGTTAGGTGTCAGCTTTTCTTAGTATATATTTAATACGGACCTTACTTCTTCAAGTTATTTGACAGAAAATGTAACTACGAAAATGCTTACAGTTTTATACACTGACTTTCATTCAGCTAGCTGATGCACTAGTGGCATCTAGTTATGGCAGCAGAGCTAAGCATAAGCTAATTTGAGTCCGTTTGTACTCTTAAAGAGGAACAGCTGTGCTACAGAGAACACAAAAATCCTTCTAAATGTCAAGCAGAGCATGCAGTTAACTATACACATATTTAAGCTTGACAGCTCTTTTGTATGGACCTTGTTCAATAGCCAGTCAGAGTCTCCTAATGTCTTATAGCACCATAATTTATAAATACAGTTAAGCAAATGTTATTAAGATACTCTCTTTTCTAGTCATTTTACTTTTGGCTTTTGATATTTCTGTCCTTTATGGGAGGGACTGCTGGTACTTCAGTATCAGAATTTTATTTCCGCGTCTTTCAAATTAACTGTTTCAATGCTGCTTCTTCTTTTGGCACTTTTAAATATTGGGGTTGCTAACATCCTTAATATGGAGACACACTGTCTATATGATAATTACTTTTATGTTTCATTTCAACAGATATGTTACTGATAATGGCAATGTTAATGAAGTACACACAATAATAAAAAAGGCAAACTCTCCTGTGAATGGTATTTTGCTATTATCTTCACAAGATTGGCTGTGGTTGGTGAAAACTCCTATTATTTCTTTTACTGGAGTATCTTTATCACACCACAGTTACAACCGGAATGTGACTGCAAAGATTAGAAGTTGCCTAAAAACATTTTCTGCAGGATATGAAAATTTTTTTTAAAAGCAGATTTTTTGGTAGACTACTCATCTTGTGTACTATAAATGTGCTTTTGCCATGCAAATGGTAAGATACAAAGTTTAGGCACATAGTGAATTTAAAATGTCTATTTAATTTGTAGTGTATCAAAAAGAGAAAAGCTTAATAAAAACAGATCAGAAGCCTTCCCTTCCCCAAAAGAATGCCCCCATCAAAAAGAATACCAGGAAACCCTGATTT